AGCACATGCCAAAATCCAGTGTTGGTATAAAATTAATTTATCTCTAGTGGTATATCACAGGAATTTATGTGCCTGCTTGTGTAGGAACCTGTTACAAAGAAATGTGTGTTACACTGTGTGTCTTAAATATGTGGCCTAATAGTACGCAAGTAGGTGAAACCTTTCAGACAGTATAATGTCATTCTCAGTCTAAGCAGCAGCACATATATCTCTGTTACAGCTTAGTGTTCATGTAGTCAGCCTTATTTTCTTGGATTTGGGGAGTTTGTTGTTCACATCCAACCCCCAGTGTAACTTGTGTTTATTGAGGCAAGTATAGTTGAGGGTTTTTTTATTCATGCTGTTAATCTGCTTCTTAGTGAAATTGTGTACTGTGAATTCTACAACCTGCCCTTCAGAACTTCATAATACTATTATTATTGATTTACTGGAGTCATCAACAGATGTCATTTACCTCTTCCCAATTGTTTTCTTCTTAACCTAGACAATGTAAAATGAAAATTACAGCGTTTTCTAAAATCTCAGACACACCTTTTTTTAGGTCTCAACTCTTTTCATTTGTCACCATCTTCATGTGAAAACACTAAGGAATGCTTATCAGAAGGCTAAACTTCTGTCTTGCAAGTCACAGCGGAAGCTGTGCTTCTGTACATTTGTGTGCAATTTCTTTTTGTGTCATATTTTTTAGCAACAGGGATGGGCTCCTCTGCACTGTTCTTTTGGCCGAAAAATGCTGAGTGACGTGCCTCTGATACAAGGTGATACTGTGACGTCACAGAACAACAAATCATGTCCTGTGGTTCAGAGCAAAATTCTTTGTGAGCTCAGAGTTAACTGTTCCAAGCACTTTCTGTAATTCCCTTATTTTTATCTTCTTAGCTTTTTATCTGTGAGCTGATGTAGCTTTGAAGATTCACAAGAGTCATATTATAGTTTGCCTTTGCCTTTTTCATCTCCCGTTCACCTCATGAAGCTCTCTGCAGGGCCACATTTCAAACCCATTTTGCTCACGGTGTTCTCTTCCACCATGGTACACACCCAGGTCACCTTGCTGACTCCTCCGAGAATGGAGTTTCATAAGCATCCACACTGTGAAAAGATTTTTGGTAACTTGCTTTTGCTTGTCTCAGGCTTTTTCTTGATGAATTCTGTTTCAGACAAATTCAGAGATCATTGTTCCCTTTTCTTAGATTGAGAAAATTACAGATTTGGATTTTGGATGCTGGAGACAATGCAGTAATAGAGAACTTGGGGTTGGGTTGGGGGGAGGATGTTAATTTTTACACAACTGTTAACCAGCGGTTGATATTTTGGTGAACAGGTATCTTTAAATGTGTTTTCTGTTACTGCCATGTATTTCTTCCTGAGAAGTGTTACGTAAATTGTATTGGCACTTTAAGTAGCACCAGAAAATCAGTTTATTAATGTAGGAACTGAATTAGATGTGTTATCCATACCTCATAATGCTTAACTAAAAAGTTTACTTCTGGGAAAATGTACTTACAGAATCATAGAATAGTTAGGATTGGAAAGGACCTTAAGATCATCTAGTTCCAACGCCCCTGCCATGAGCAGGGACACCTCACACTAAATCACAAAGTTTCTTTCTTTTTTTTAAAAACAGTATTTAAGGAATATGTTTGGATGAGAGGCTTGGATAAGTGCTGCAGGTTTCTTATAAGCAATTTGCTCATCTGATTTGACTTGTTACAAAATACTGTTTACATGGAGTGGTAAGACAGCCTTACCAGTGGTAAAAGCTCGTTTCTTTTCCATTTTCTTCAGTTACCATGCTTGTGTGAGAGCATGTGTACCATTTCGTGCTTTCTTAACAAAAAACTTCTGCTATTCAGGAGGATTACATGGAAACTAAGGAAGAAGGCAGAAATAGTTGGTGTTTCTGAGATTTTAAATAAGGGTAGCAGCCTGTTTAATAAGCAGCAAGTAACAAAAACTTAATGGATGGATATTCTGGATGCTTAACAGTAAAATTTCTTGCAGGATACTAGTTATATCATGAGTTTCAAAATGAAAGAGAAGAAACAGGTGCTAGAGTTTTAGGTCCTCCTGTGTGAAATAGTGATATAAATTCTGGTTTGAAAAGTCACTACGCTGACTGCCCTTACACCATGGGCCAGCTTTCTTCTGTTTTTGTGTGAGAGATCTGTCATCACACTTTGTACTTACTCAGGATCACAGTGGAATGCATTTTGGTCACATGGAATGAAGGAAATACTAAGTGGTTGAGAAATTCTACATTAATAAAGTACCTTTTGAAGTAATACAGTTCTGAATGCCTTACAACTAAGGTCTTAGTTGTGATAGCAAATAAATCAGATTCTTATGGAGCCTCAGTTAGCCTGGAGTTGCATTCATCATTCTGACATCCTCTGATACCACTTCTGACAATGTAGATTGGTAATGGGTTATTCCTTCCCCTCAAATGGATCATAATAGTGTGGCTTCATTCAGCAATATGTAAGATCAATACTTTGCAAAATATGCAATCCCCGAAAGTGTTTTACAAAACAATTTAATTAAAATTGATAATGTAAGACATTTCATCTGCACTCCATTAAATACCCGTCTGTCTGTACACTGAGCTGTTCTGTTACCAATTCAGATTCTCTGTATGAGTATTTATTGAGTTGACCTTTTGCTGCATTTTACAAGAGAATGTAATGATACAAGATTGTTCAGAGTTGAAAATATTAGAACACAGTCATTAACCAAAAATGCTGCTAAAACTTTAGATTACTTTTATTCTATATTTCAGATTTTCCAAAGCTTTGCTTATGAACAAAACTTTTCCCTTTTTTCACCTTTGCCTTAGAAATCCTGTTGAGTGCAGCAGTAGGTACATGGTTCATGTGTTAGCAGTAAATTAAGGCTACATTCTTCAAAAGAACAGTACCAAACTACCTGATTTTAGGCACTGCTTAATTTTTTTTGCAAGATTACCAATGGAAGGTGGAGTTAGAACTTGGGCACCAGGGGGGTCGTAGAGATGGAACCAGGGGCAAGTTCGCAATGTGTCTACAAAGCAATGTTTTTGTGGTGGTGTGACATGGAATTACTCTTAGATTATTTACACCTTCCTTTTCGTTGTTGTTCACCCCCCATGATCTGACTGTGCACCTTCACTTGTGCTCTACTAGGTACATACCTAGCATGTGTCAAGATACATACATAAAACATTTCACATCTTTTGTTACTGGTCGAGTAACCTTTTATACTTCCCTTATTAGATTTTCAAAGGCAGTTTTGTTTTCTTAATCACTGTTCCATATATGATGATGCATGAAACTCTTCTGTACATCTGTTACAGGAACACAGCAGTCACATAAGCCATGGGGAACAGTTTGCAGTGGCAAAAGAGAATTTATGTAGATATAAATGGCTTACTTTGTAGGTCTTAATTAGTGAGTTCTGTGATTAAAATTTTGTCAACCTTTAAAAAATGTCTAGAAGCAGTGACTCAGTGTGTATAGCATTTATGTCTTTGATGTGCAAGCCTCTTAAAAACAGATGCAGAAATCTTTCTAAAAAGCTTCTGAGTCCTATTTTTGAGAAAAAAATGAGGCAAGAGGCCAGGTTGAATGGGGTTTTGAGTAACCTGGTCTAGTCAAAGGTGTCCCTGCCAATGGCAGGGGGGATTGAAACTATATGATCTTTAAGGTCCCTTCCAACTCTAACCATTCTGATTCTAAGAGGTGACTTGAGAGGGAAATCCCCTTAGAATACGTCTGAAGTAAGCAAATATATTGAAATATTGGGACTGTAGCAAGGCCTATTTCCCCATTTCCCTACCTCTTGATTTGGTTTTGATAGTAGCATTTAGTTTATGTTCAGTAGTGTTGCCTTTCTATCAAGATGAAAGCAGGGTGTTGCACACACTGAGGTTCCCTAAAACTCCTGAAGCTGCCCTTGAAGTCAGTCTGGATGCTCGTAAACTTAGAGGATTTGTTCTTTGGTAGATACTGTACTAAAGGTAGAAGTAAACTAACATGAAAAGGAAGAATTTTTTTTCTCCCCAAATACTGCTTCAAATTCTTTCCGTACTCTTTGATGTTTTCAATAAACCAGAAGATACAAAAAATACATCATCTTTATGAAGAGTCAGTCTCACAGTATGGAGTAATTCGTAACTCTTTGTGGAAGAGCTAACATTAATGGAGTAAAACTCAGCCTAAAAGTCGTCGTTAGAGCAATGGAATGGTCTCTGCACAGCATAATGGACTCAGATCTTTACACAAACCTTTGATACTTGTAGGAAAAAGAAATGAAATATTTTGTAATACATTTTTAAGTTCCCAGAGGACTTGATATATTGTCATATTTAATATATCTGTTATAGTATTATTATTTTTGTCCTTCACTGTACTGTTTTTATGTTTTATTTCTTTTGACTTATGTTGATTTCTGTTTTGGTTTTTTTTTTTCTTTCTGTGGTATAGGCGCCCTTCGTATCAGCTTTATATGGAAAAGGGTTACATGGTTTTGCATGCCCTGATTATATAACTTCTTTGCAAGCATGCTTTTAAGGCCAGTAATTTAATTTTATTTCTTCTGCATTGCTTGTAAAATGTGCAGAATTATAAAAGGTAGGAGTGATGTTGTAGATGCAACCAGAGTAAACTTCCATTGGTTTAATCCTTTGTGTTTTCATTAGTTTATAAAAATCTTTAATGAAACATTGTACTTCTGTGCGCAACTTAGTTTTGAAAATTTGAATTAGGTGCACTTTTTCCTTGCCTTCTTGATTGTGGTTACATGTGTGTCTACCTGCTGAAAACATTTTACAATACGTCACATAATAGCTGAGGAAAAGTTTGCTGCTTTTCTTATCTTCCACGTCTTTCATTAGGAAAATAAAAAGATACGGAGATTAAATGAACTTTGTGTTATATACACTAGTGCAAAATACCTTGTGTAATGTAGGCAAATCACAAATTAACCATTATAGCAAACACATTTAATAAAATTAATTATGTTTCTAGGTTCCATGGTTCCTTTCTCCATGCGAATTTTACATGCCGAACTTCCTCAGTACCTAGGTAATCCTCAGGAATCACTTGACAGACTGCATAGTATGAAGATAATCTGCACCAAGGTAACAGCTTCTCTATGCACTAACATTTCTTAATGTTTAAGAAATATATTTTATTGTCCTGATAAAGAACATTAAGTTTCAACAATGACTTTTCTTATGCCATCTTGATACAAATAAGGAGCTCACTAATAGAAGTAATTGTCTCTTCAGTTTTAGGATACAAGTCTCTTTTCTTTGGTAGCTCTGACTAAAATGAGTAGAACAGTGGACAGCACAGTTCTCGTGCTTTCATGCTCTTGCCAGACAAAGGAGGGAGGACAGTAAGCAGGTGGTGTAAGGGCAAGTAGGAGAGCTTTATTTCCTCACTTAGTTGCATCCAGCTAGCTCAAAACACAGTTGGTAATGATCTTGATCCTTCAGAAATAGCCTGAATAGCTGGTTTTGGAAACAACAGTCATTTGGAAATATAACTACAACCTGCTGAGGTTTGTTTTGCAGGTTTGGTTGGTTCTTTTTGTTTTGTCAAGTACTGTAATACAAAATTATGGTGTGAATTATAATATGGGGTTTGTCGGTGCCGAAATTGGAGTAATGGTGTTATGAGCACTAACCTTATCCACTAAACCCATTCACACTTAAATGTTTTTGAAATCTTTTCCAGGTTGTCATCTGCAACCTTGAGGTGGCTCGCTCTGCTCTCTTTTCCTTAAATGCATAACCTAGAGCATACCCAGTGTACTAAGGAAGTTTTTTAAACTATAATACAAGATTTTATTTTTTTTTAAACACAAACTAGGCTGATTATTTGTTGAAATAAGGGAAATTGGATGTGCTGGAGAGGATGAAATAGAAAAAAAATGAGATTTACAAATTAATATATACATATTTCCCTGCCTGATGAGTTGTTGAACAGGTCTGTTTACACATGTTCTCACTCCATCAACTGCTAGTGACCTCGGTAGCTACAAAATCTGTGTGATCCCTGGTGCCCTTGTGGAAAGCTTCTTTGAGGCTGGCTGAATGTCTTCCACTAGCTCTTCCAGGGAGTGCCCTGTTCCCTGCACTTACTGTCGGTTAACAGAATGCCATGTCTTTCTCTCTGCCTTCCTGTGTCTGGGTTTGCAAAGTTTCTCCCAGATCAGTGTGTTCAGTTGTGGTCAGAAAGAGCACCAGCTCCCTTTGCTTCTGACACCTTCCACTAGAGCCAGGATCCAGTAGCCAGTGCAAGCCATTGTCTGTGCTGATGGATGCTCCTTTTTAAAGTACAGTACATAGAAAACTACAAGCAAACAAATAAAACACACCATCCTTCTCAAGGGAATATTTCGGATCAGTTATTCTAGACACCTCATTGCAAATTACTTCATTTTCTGCATTCAATTAAATACCTGCTTTTTTGGAGCAACTCAAAGACAACTGTAGAAACTAGAATATGATAAAGCACAACCTGTAAATATAAATATGTTTTAAAAGACAGTTGTAAATTGGTGATAATTTAACCATTTGGGGTTAGGGTTGGCCAACAGAAACATCATTTAGCTATGTTTTGATTTTTGTATAGAATGCTATTTGTCCAATAATGTCGATTTCACCTGGACTGTTCAAGAATAAAGTTTAGCTTACTTATGAAAACCCATAGCATAACCAACAAAATAACATAAAGGATCTACACTCATTAGTCTTAATATTTGTATATGACACTTGGGAACCATTGGGGTTATAACAGAAATAATTGGGGAGCTTTCAACCAAAAGCCTCTAGTGTTTTACTTCCTTATTTTAAAAAGTGGAAAAATAATCTTTGGTCATCCGTATTTACAGAAGGGCATAGGAATAGTCATTATGTAAATGAGATGATCTTGGAGTCATGGAAGCTGGAAGAGAGAAAAGACCTATTAGCTCACCTAGTCTGTCCCTCTGCAATGCAAGGTTGTTTTCTAGTTTTTAATGAGCCAGCCTATGGAGCTGAGGCCATGTCCCCTGGGAGGCTAGATGAGACTAATGCTAATGCATTCTTATCATAAGAAGATTTGTCTTTCTATTTCATTTCTCTTCCTTAATGTTGTTGTGGGGTTTTTCCCCCCCCGTCTGATACTTCCTTTTAACCTGGTAAATTTCCCTCTGCTTTTTGTTGTATGCATTCTACAGACACTTGTCAGCTTTGGATTAGCCATTCAACTAAGATCTAGTCAAAAGATCTTAAAGATCTAGCCATATTTACTTTGTCCCCATTTTGGTAACTCATTCTCTTCAGCCTCCATATACTTATATATTTCTGGTACCTGAAGCAGGATTGGTGGTTGAGTACAAAAACGTAATTTTTCTTTTCCCTGTATAGGCAATAATGATTTTCCCTTTTTCAATATTCCTGCAAATTTGTAATCAAGATCTGGTTGGATATTTTACATCTCTGTCCATAGGTACAACATTTGGGAAATAAAAAACCTGTAGTGACAAATAAATATTACAGCTTGGAGGAGGAATCCAGTGAAATTGTTATTCTCTCTGTGTTATTGCTGGTTTTCTCAACATGAATTGCCACAATGAGTTGTTGCCCATATAAGTTTGCCTTGAAATAAATGGTTTCCAAACAGCCAATCAGTAAGAGTAACAATAGTAATTTAAATCACAAAATGGTTTGTTCTTTTCAAGTATTATTTAAAAACATAGCCGTGATCACTTTAGTGTTCATGATGCTGAGGACATGCCAATAAATGCCTACCTGGAGACCAAAATGTGGAAAGAACAACAGTCAGGCTTAATCTGAACTCCTCCTTGTTTGTGCCTAGGAGAGTGAGGGAAAGCTCCAGGAAATTCACACATGTCATAGTGCAGCTATTTCCCTTCTTAACCCTAACCCTTCAAGTGGCAGAGCCATACTGGGCAATTCTGTTAGCTGGGTGAAGCAGTGGCAAGTGGGTTAACACTCTTGCTTCTTAAAAAAGCCTCTGCAAGAGTTACCTCTGCTAAACTTCAAAAGTACTTTGTGCCGTTTCTCCATCAGCCACTCGCTGTGTATTTCCACTGCTCTCCTTCGTGAGTAGTTATGTTCTTCCCTGGCCCTTCTGTAGACACTCTTCGTATTTCCTGGACTTATGTTTTACTTACAAATTGATGAAATTTTGAGTATCTTAGCTACTGATTGGTTTGGGTTTTAATTTTATTCAACTTCCAGTTCTGGCTCAGTTACTAAGGTCACTTAAGTATTCTGTTTCTTACACATTACTTCAGTCTAGGGGGTATTTGTCCTGATGCCTTGTTTGATGAGTTTGTAGAAAGGATGATCCTGCACCAGTCTGAGTACCCAAAAAGCCGCAATTCCAGAAGCACCAGAAAGGGTTATTTTGAGTAAGAAGCTAATGCTGGTGAAAAGTTGTAGAACAAGAAGTAAAGCATTGAAGAGAGATATGTAAGGATAGGAAACTCAGAGAGAAAATGGTGGTATGCATAGGTTAGTAATTACAGCATACAGGTGATTGGTAGGGAATGAAACAGAAGACTTGGTGAAGTCATATTAGCCGGTGAAACTAATCAGTATGTACTTCCAATACTCAAAACAAGAAAAAGCCTAGGTTGCACATTAAACCTATGTTTAAAGTAAATGGTAGGAGCATTCAATCATTTCTCTTTATAATTGAAACAAGGATGTTTAGTGCTATCCCATGTGATATTGCTGGAATGAACAGTTTACCATCTGTAGAAAAGTAGCATGAGGGGATTTGCTAAAATTACTTGTTTCGTGTCAACTAACCCAGATAGCTTACACTGAGGAGCTACCTGAATCGTTAATGTTATTATTAAACAATACTTGGAAAACTGGGGAAATGCTTAAATGCTGAAAAACTGCAGATGGTGTTCACATACTTAGGAAGGGCAAGAGGAGATGAACCTAGGGAATAGAACAATTAGCCTTGAATCAGCACTGAGTTCTATTTTAATTACGTTGAGCTTGAAGTGATGGCTAGATATATCCAAGTAATGTCACAGAATGGTTAATGCAATACACTAATTGTATGCTAATATCTAATTCTTTCTTTTTTGATGTTAGTGAGCATGTTTTCAGATAAACACATTGTCTTTTTTAATAGTACAGTATGTCTTTTGATGAAGGTACCTCACTGTGTTTAGACCATTTCAAGAGTAAGAACTTCAAGCCTTACTGAGAATGAGAAGTGATCACAAGATGTTTTCCCGTGGAAGAGAAATGGTTTTCCAGGGGAAGATCATGGGGTTTAGACTGGACAAGACAGGAAACAGACAATAAGGTGGTTTTGGTTTGTGGGAGAGCAGAATGTTTTTTTTTTTTGTCTGACAAGGTGACACATTATATACTAAGCATTTAACACTGAAATATAGTGCTTTGGTTTCTAAGTGATTTAAAAGTGGCTACCCTGCTTTTGAAAGTAGGACTGGGATTCAGTCTTGCAGATGTGTGCCACTGTGATCTTATAAATTGCCACCTATCAACTAAACTGCAGTATCTACTGGTGTACGCTTATAGCCTCTCAAAATCTGAGGTAAGGCAACGTAGTCTAGCCCTCTGCGAACAAGCTTCACGCTAAATCATACTGCCTTGTATTTGTCATGGGCTAGCAATTCTTACTGGGAAAATTACCCTGGCTCAGCTGGCATGTGGTAACTGCTGTCATTTCATTATGTGTCTCTCCTTGTTCTTAAGTTCATTGTAGCTAAATTTATGGCACCTAAATTCATGCTTTCACTCTCATCTGTGACAAGAGGTTGGTATCTTGTAGAGCAATTCCTTCCACCTTAAGACATCTAAAATAGGTGACATGAACTAGCTTCCTGGAGGTACCAATTGCTCTTCATTGGCTGTAAAAGGCACCAACATGGCTGGCTGAGCCCAGATTAATTCTACCTGTCTTTGCTTTGGAGGTTTTCCTGTGTTGTTTTTTAAGTGTTTGCTTACAAAGCACTGAGCGCAACTGGAATGCTTTGCTGGTGTAAGAAAAAACAATTACTTCTTATACTTACAGAAGCTGAGAGCTCTGTATTTGGAAGCGCACTCAGTCCCTGGAAGAGGCAGTGCCTTTTATTTCCCTCATCAGCTAACTACAGTGGCTGATGAAAGAGCAAGTGGCCTTAATAGGTTTTTTCAAGGATATCTCAAGCATTGTTCTACAACCAAAGTTATAAATCTGTAACAGAAAAAGTGGGGTGACCAGTGGGAATCAGAAAACAAATTTGGAGAAATTGTAATGGGATTAAAAAAGGCAAAGTCAACTTGCATTTCAAATGGAATCTTGCATAGAAATTTTAAAGTGCTTAAGACACAAGCTTCATTAAGTATACATTTTCATTCTTCCAATAAAACAACAAATGTTTCGTGCACTCAACAATTTGCATGATTTAAAATCTATACTAGATAAAAAGAAGCAATAAAATCCAAGCTTTGAGAAGGAAATTGCAGTAAGAACTAAGAGGAGTTCTTCATTAAGGACAGAAGGATTAAACTAGAGCCTCTGCTTAGGGTGGCGGAATCAAGAAGCAGTGGCTTTCTAAGAAAAAATCAGATTGACTTTCTTTGTGGACATTAAGATTCATTCTCTGGTGAAACATGCTTCATGTTTTGCTTAACAAAATGTGTGTGTCCCTAGAGTGTGCTGACATTCAATATTCTGTGAGTATCATAAACCTGAACTCTTAACATCCTTCTCCCGTACAATGGCTTTCTTACTTTGTGCAATTGATCTAGCTACGGTAATAGTAATTTTGAACTGTACCTAGGTG